TAGAAATTAATGTTATTGTGAGATTAATTATATTGTAAAAAAAAGTTGAATTTCCATGACAATTACTTGCCACTACTTGAAAAGTATGTAAAAGGGTTGGAGCAAATCAATCCATTAAGAAAAAGACATTTGATAAAATCATTACTTACCACCCCATCCAAAAGTCTTGGACCCTTTGAGTGGCAATAATATCTTCACTAGTATTTGTCAGTTGAACACAACTAATTCTAAGAAGATTCAATCCAATAAACCCATGTTGTATTCCCTGGAAAAAAATATAAACATAATAAATGATGATAGTTAAAGTCATAATAACATAACCAATATTTTATATGATTAAATGAAGTATATGTTAGTAAAATTAAAGAACAATATACCATTTCCAGTATGGGAAAAGGTATCCCATATGCTTGGTTTTAAAGAAGAAAAAAAAAAAAAATCGGGTGACATCATGGAGTTTACAACGTAAAACATTGCTCTAATTTAGTTGGTTTGAAATGAAGGTGCACATACATATACATCTGTCTGACTCTAACAAAGTTTTTTTTCTCCACAAAAGTTACAACCGTAAGGGTATTTTTCTATTTTCATATACTTATCCTAATAATAATAAAAATATATATATATATATATATATATATATATATATATATATATATATATATATATATATATATATATATATATATATATATATATATATATATATATATATATATATATATATATATATATATATGTGTTCATATCTATATCTACTTTGTATCTTCTTACGTGTTTTGAAAATGACTAGTTGTGAAGGTGAGTAAATGTTTATATATATATATATATATATATATATATATATATATATATATATATATATATATATATATATATATATATATATATATATATATATATATATATATATATATATATATATATGCAATGATTTTATGCGAGAGATAAATTATTACATATGTTGTGATGTTGCACGTGTTTTGAAAGACATATATGAAAATTCATATGCTCATGCATTTTATAGTTACATGACTACCAGAGAGGAGTCACGAGGTGCAAACCAGAGAGGTGGCACGAGACGCGTGTCCGAGAATGGAACCACCTTATCCTGACATGGATCTTTGAGTTTGATTGATGGTGTAGATACTCATCACCTTCGTGATGCTAAATTTTGAAGTGATACCATGACCCTTTGCAAATGGATTGATATTTTGGAATCATGTGCATCAGCATATAGACATTGCATTAGGAAGTGAGTCTTATTGATGCTATAAGTATTACTTTTGTTAATAATTATATACATGTGTTAGAATGAGATCTCTAGCCGTGTATAATATCTGCTCTGTTTATGCTTGCTGCCCCACTCTTGTATATTTGTTATTTTTGGATTGATAACCATTTTAGTGGATGTGTGGGTGAATATGCCATAAGATCATCACGTTCCCGAGACACGAGAGCTACCACCGTCGAAGACGACGAACTTCACATTTCCCAATGAATGAACTAAGACGTCCTGGGGTTTTGACCCGACCCTAGGACAAGTCTCGTTCATCGAGAATGCACCCAAGACTACTACTATGTTGTTGGGATGGATCCGAAGACCACGTATTCCCAAATGACTATCACCTTCCAGATCCTAGTATACTTGATAATCTCCAGTTTCATTTCTGAAGTGATTGATCGTTTTGGATTGCTGACATCCCGCTTAGCCCCACCTGGACCGTCACATGCCCCAACCATGGGAGGAGAATCGTTCTTTCATGGTATGCCCGAGCCTCCACTAGATGTCCTTAGGATTCCCCCTGGAGTTCACTTGTGATAACTTTATCGTGGGCGATCTCCCTTACATTTCCCCGACATGTGTGCCATCATTGGAGTTAGATGTTGGTAAGGGAGAGGACGATGATACTGACGACCCCTCGGAGCATGATTTTGAGAGTGGTGATAACGAGGATGGCTCCGATCACACTTTGACTAGCGATTGTAGATGGTTATTTGGAACTGGGGTGGGTGGATATTGTGGTTGTCATTAGGTGTCGATCAGTTTAGCTAAGGAGTTGAATATGTGAGTGGTAGGAATATTTTGAGATTATATGGAGGCTGTCATGTGACTTTTTACCACGCAGGATTGGAAAATTTCTCCTTGGAGCAGCTCTCCTGCGCGAGTGTCTGCCGAAGACTTTTTATCTATTTTGTAGATATATAGTATGGTATTATGTTCTATCATGTATACATAATTTATTTTATAAATAAATGTTGTGTACTTAAAATGAATTTAAAACTCAAGATTTGTTATATCTTATAAAAAAAGAAGCGGTATTTTTATAAGGGGAAAACCTTAATTGACTTATTTATTGAAAGAGTACCTTTAAAAAAATACACTCTCGTTGTATAAAAATAGGGGTGTTACAAATAATACACAAGCTTCAAGCAGTTGATCACATAAGAAATATGATGACAATTTAATCTAATCGACGACATCATTGGTGATGCTCAAGGCGGGGGAACACATGAAGCAATAACAACACGCGAAGCAGCAACACACAAAGCTGCAACACGTGAAGATGCGTAAAAGGATTAAATGGAAGAAATGAGAAAAACACAATTGAAGTTGCTGGAAGCCTTGAGATTTTCACAAAAGTAAATGAGAGCTACACAACAACAAAAGCAATAATTTATCTTGCTCTCATAAAGGAATCCAACTAATGGTTCTATGGATGGAACTCAAAGTTTCGGTGGATATGGCGGAGTTTGTGGATTTGGATCGGTTGGTGGTCATGCGGTAAACGAGAATGAGGAAAAAGAAGAAGATGGTGATGCCGTAAACAAAAATGAGGAAGAAGAAGAAGATGGTGAAGAAGATGCAGATTAATGAATATTAATTTTAGAATTTTATAACTAAAAATATAAATTGTTGGTAGGTTATTTACGCTTGACAAATGCATGATTTACGAGGTAATTTTCACCCGGCTAAATCATGCAAACAAAAAGTTATAATATTTTTAATTATTTATTAAATTTTTATTTTTAATAAATTTTGAATTTAAATGTTATTTAATAAAAAATATTCTATTATATTATATTATCACAAATTTATTATAATTAAATTTATATAATCAAAATACATAAAAATATTCTATCATATTATATTATTACAAATTTATTATGATTAAATTTATATAATAAAAATATATAAGAATATTTTTTTATTAAATTCATTTTATAGTTTGCAAGTGAATTTCACCTAGTAAATGATTGATTTGCGAAATGAATTGCGTTGTGCACCTATTCTGCATACATGTGTTGTCTACTTGTAAAAATGAGTTGTAAAGTGATTTTCATCTACTAATGTTACGATGTGATTTTCTCTATAAAAGAAAGTTGTGACTAATCTTTTAGCGAAGTAAAAGAAACTCATTGGTTTCAACTGTTGTGAGGTGATTAGTATCTAGCAATTTTAAGTTTTTTTTAGTGATTATTGTCTATATTAGAATAAAAAATTTTAACTATATTTTTAAAATAAGATTGAATATAATTTAAATTTATTATAGATAAAATAAAAAATAATTTAATATCGTGCGAGTCTTAATTTAATTATATATAAATTAAATCATAAATCTTAATTACATTAGTTATTCTGTTTGTAAATACTCTAGAAATAGAGCTAAAAATTGGTCATCTAGTTGGAGAAGGATTTATAGCTTGTTTATTTAATGTTCATCTTGAGTTGACCTAATTTATTTAGTAAACGGATCATGTTTATGTTCTTTAAAATTTTATTTTTTAAAATAAATTTTATAAAATATTTTTCGTTAAATCTATTAATCTTGCATTCTATATGATCTGATCTGATCAGGAGGATGATCACGGTCTGGCCTCGTCCTGTTGGGCTGGTATCTGTCCGCCAGTGTAGAGAAGAAAGGTGGGGGGTGTACCTGCAAGGAACTCCGATGTCAAAGTAAGAATTTGGGCAGACAGTTGCAAATACAGAGGGTAAGAAGTGAATACCTGACCCTCTTGTGAAAGAGGGTATTTATAGACCCTAGCACTGGGCCAACGGTCGTTTGGGCTGGACGGTCAGGCCCAACCCAAAGGACTGCTAGGGCTGATGTGGCATAGAGGAGACGAACACGTGGTCTTTGCCCTAGTTCAACCGCTCCATGATTTCTGGAAAGAGCGCCTGGTCTTCCGGAGATGAACGGTTGGGAAGTGACGTGTCCCGTAAAAGGCGGCACGTGGAGAACATGTCCAGGCAACGACCCTCCTACTCGGCAAGGAAGGTCCTGCCCGTGGCGACCCCGTGGTCGGATGAAGGTGTGCCCGGTTCGTGTGCGCGCCAGATAGGCGGTTCGTATCCTCAGCTCATAGGCTTGTGCTCGACTTGAGAGTTGTGCCCGGTAGGCGCCATGTCGCGTGATACGCGCCCGGTGAGTCCATCATACCACGCGTGTGTTACGTGTTTGCCCAGAATGTCTGAGCACTTGCATGGAGACGCGATTGGGCATGGGCGGCTTACCCGAGGGCCCAGTCCAGAACAATATATATATATATATATATATATATATATATATATATATATATATATATATATATATATATATATATATATATATATATATATATATATATATATATATATATATATATATATATATATATATATATATATATATATATATATATATATATATATATATATATATAAAATTAATCAAATAAAATTTATAACACAAATTTATATTATTTATTTTTCTATTAATTTTTTAAAAGTATTGGCAAATATTTTCAAAAACAATTTTAGTATGATCTGGAATTGAGGGCATAAAAGTAATTTCGCCCAAAATGGTTACAAAAATGGTGCTTAGTTGTAGAAGAGGAAGAACAGGTTGTTACATACGACTTCGACTTTTCTTACAAATTCAAACCAAAATCTGCTTTTTGATTTTATCTTGTTAAGATAGTAAAGGGTTATCTTGTTTTTCCTCAATTATTTGTTAATGGACACTGAATCCCCTTCAGATTCTGCTGAAAGATTCAAGCTTTACGATGAGCTTGAATTGCAAGAGTTTCAGAACAAGTTTGTAATCAAATCCCATCAATCTCCTAATCATGGATTTTCGATTAGTCGTATTGATGGAAATATCAATTCACTTGATGGTAATTTCATTTATTGCTGAATTTCAGTTTCTTGATTTTATGTTTGGTTTGAAATAGAAAGAATTTGTTTTTTTTTTAAGCTTGTAGCTTAATTATTGTAATTTTTAGGTGAAGATTAATTGAGAAGTTGATTTGCTTTTCAAGTGGATTTTTTTTGTAGGGTTTTGGTTTTTGTTAGTTATTAATATTTTTTTTGGGTAAGAAAGAGGATCATGAGTAATCTTGTTACATTTACAGATTTATTAATGAAGTTATTTATAGCCAAAAATTAATATTCTTACATTTTTGAGATGTTGCTTGTACTTATTTGAGGCTATGTGTTGTAGCCCATTTTGCATACCCTAAAAGATGGTCTTGGTTGTAATAATTCCTATATATGATCTTTTTTTTTGGTATGATCTTTTGCAGGTGACACATTCTCAGAAAGTCCAACAAAGACATCTACGATTTACGGTGTTGTGGGAACAATAAGATTGGTTGTAGGTAGATATGCTTATAATTTTATCTTGAGTTGCTTTTTTATGTACTTGCATATGCATTCAATCATATCTTGTCATTTTTCCATTTTGTTAGATGAGTTCCTAAAATATCTATTAAGTAAGATGCTACCGGATGCATGTGGCGAACTTTTTTACATCGACGGTGCAAATCAGTTAACCACAAAAACGAATATAGTCTTGTTTGTTCTTTAATGTATGTTCATACATAGTAGTGCATATTTTTTGTAATTAATGGAGTTAAACAACCTATTAAGGAAAGTCGTCTTCTCAAGTAGATTATGTTGAATGCATTGGTTTAGCATAAAGAAGTTAAGCTAGCTATAAGAACTGTTATGAACGAAGAAAAAGAATCTTTATTTTCTCTAGGAACCACTTGATTTAAGAACATAACTTCCTTTATACACATTAAGGTTGAATAGTGCTATCTTGATGCAGGAACTTATGCCATTGTAATAACTTCTCGGAAGGAAGTTGGAAGTTTCCTTGGTTTTCCGGTGTATCGCTTGATGTCTATGAGAGTTCTTGCATGTAATGAGGCTCTGAAGTTTTCAACTTCTCAAGAAGTAAGAGGTTGTGTAATTATAAGTTGTTGAGGGATTAATCAAGTGTTATACATGTCATCCATACTCAAGATCTCCTTTGTGCTCTGTCTTTTTTTGTAGAAAAGGGATGAAGAATACTTCTTGACATTGTTGAAAGTAGTAGAGTCAATGCCAGGCTTATACTATTCTTATGAAACAGATATTACATTAAAGTGAGTGTCGCGGTCCTTATATTGCTGGTTTATTATTATTACCATTATTATTATTATTATATTATTATTATTATTATTATTATTTTATTATTATTATTGTCAAAGTCTCTTAATATCCAATCAAGATTGATGATCATAAGATGTAATTCGTCTTATCAATCAGCTTGCAGAGAAGAAGCAAGTTAGTTGAAGGGTGGATGAGTAAGCCACTATGGAAGCAGGTTAGTCGACATGATGCCACGGCAACATATCACAAAAATTCTCTTTCAGAACACTTCTCTTACTCATTTACTTTCACAATAGGAATGATAAAAAAAGGCCTCTTGAACCTGTTGACATCATTTAATGCAATAAGAAGGGGCAAAATTGCTTGAAATTTTATGGTTTCTCTTTTCTGATTTATATTTCAGGCTGACCCGCGATATGTATGGAACAAGCATCTTATGGAGGAGCTCATTGAGTCTAAGGTCAGATAATTTTGCAGCATTTGCTGTTTGCTAAAGTAAAAGTTCTTATTCAATTTTACTAAAAAAAATGAAGTCTTCTTAAAGCTTTAATGAACTTCATCTTCTCCTAACATAAAATCTTTTTTTATGACAGCTTGACAGATTCATCATGCCTCTAGTACAAGGGAATATCCTGAAATTTTAACTACTGTTTCTCTCCCCTGTCCCCTTTCCGTGTGAATGTCTGTGTGTGCATGTGTTCTCTGTATAATAAGCTTGTTATGTTCCCCCTTAACCGGTGCTTAAGCTTCCAAACAGCTGAGCTGAAGCTAAAAGACTCGTGTGTTAAACTGACATTAATATCAAGGAGATGTACACGACGTCTAGGTACAATGTCCTCATATGCTTCATCCTTATAATGGTAGTTCAATAAATTTGCAATAACTCATTATAATATGACAATATGGTGACTTAGGAACTAGAATGTGGAGAAGAGGAGCTAACTTTGAAGGTGACACTGCCAATTTCATTGAAACTGAACAGTTACTTGAAACTGAAGATTTCAGTTTCTCATTTTTGCAGGTATTATTTTACATTAACGAGTTTGTACTTCAATTATTTCCTTTTGATAGCTTCTCCTTACAGTTGGTTTTGTTTTCCGCTAGCATATTTAGTTTTATAATTCATATTACAATATCGATTTCTGAGCTCCCTGGTTGTGATCTGTACTCTAATTAATATTTTGCAGGTTCGTGGTTCAATTCCTCTTTTGTGGGAGCAGATTGTTGATCTAAGCTATAAACCACACCTTAGGGTTATAAATCATGAGCAAACAGTACGCTTCTATTTCTCTGTCTTTCGTGTTTTAAAATTGTTTTCACAATATAATTATATTTCTTACTGCTTTTCCCCTTCTACTCCTTCTGTTTCAGCCAAATATTGTGGAGCGTCATTTCCATGATCTCTCACAAAGATACGGAGAGATATTAGCAGTTGATCTAACTGACAAAGTAAGACTTCTACTATCTACTCTTTCTCAATACTAATCTGAATCTATCAGCAAATTTATTCTTCAGATTGATAATGAGTTCAAAGATATGTAGCTTCTTTAAATAAAACTGATTTTGCTTTTCTACTATAGAGGCTTTATATTCAATATTTGTCTTTCATAGGCGCCCCTTTCATTTCTCACAAAATGTTAAATAGGGAAACTTGAGGCCATGGATTGGCCAAATTTGATTAGCCCTTTGGGATATACATCACCCTTAGCCAATCTCTACAGCGAACATTCCCTTTCAACTGTTTTTGTTACTTTGTGTCTTCTATTTTGATCAATTTATTGTTGATTTTACTTTTCATCAGCATGGTGAAGAAGGTCAACTAAGTGCAGCATACGCTGCTGAAATGCAAAATCAGCAAAATGTGAGGTGATAATTTGGACTTTTTTTTCTTCTTATACTCTATTCTTGTGTTGCAAATTTACAACCTTGTGTTATAGAGTCCGTTCTCGTGTTGTTTTTTAATTTGAAAACTTGGTATCCGACCTTATGGACCGACTAGTCCGAGGGAGACCAATCCCACCGTCCACTTGTGGGGGTCCCATTTAAAGTCAGAGCAAAGCTCTGTATGAACTGTCTCAACACAAGAATTGTTCGCACCGTGGGATTTGAACTTGAGGTCTCAAGCCTTCACCAATAGGCCAACCCTTGGGGGTTCTGCTTTGGTTGTGTTATATATCATTGTTTGTTATGACTAATATGTTTCACATTTTTTCTTTTACATCTGTTGTTTTATGACTCACCCATCATGACACTATGGCAGATATGTGCCTTTTGATTTCCATTTGCACTGTGGGAACTCAAATTACAATAGTATGAAAATCCTTTATGATCAAATTTCAGAGGATTTGGAAAAACAAAGGTAATGAAAAAAAATTCAAGTATTTATTAACGAATATTAATAGCTAGTTGCCACAATCCTGATATGCTGGCAATCTATGATTCAGATTTTTTAATCATTTCTGTTTCAGCTGAGCAGATACTTCATGATAGATAGAAAAGGAGATATACTAGACGAGCAGAAAGGAATTATCAGAGCAAACTGCATTGATTCGCTTGATCGAACAAATGTTACTCAGGTTCCCCGCAAAAGGATAATTTGATTTAATGTTTCTTAATCCTTCTCTGACCGTCTTTGTGTAAATTATGCAACTACTTATTTTGATTATCTTGCCACTGTTTGCAGTGTTATATGGCCCAGAAGGCATTAAATCTTCAATTGCAGAGAATTGGAGTGCTTACTTGCTCCGAGTGCATATCAATGTTCGGCGAGGAAATTGGAAAATTCAGAATATGTATGAAGTTTCTTGATAATTTCTATTATTCTTCTCTATGAACTATAAACCCTGCTTATTTGAACTAAATAATTTTATTTAGTATGGGCAGAGCAAGGCGATGAGATAAGCCTGGAGTATGCGGGGACTAATGCTCTCAAAGGGGACTTAGTTAGGTATGAAAATTTCCGGGAATGAGTGAATCTTGTGTTTTTCTGTTTTCTTATGTTATACTGAAATTTTGGATTTATGATGCAGATATGGAAAGAAAACACTAGCTGGATTAATAAAAGATGGGATTAGTGCAGTTTCGCGCTATTACTTGAATAATTTCCACGATGGAATTCGGCAGGTAAGTTCGTTTATGTTCACTATTCATTACAGTCAACAAATATATGGCAGTTAATCCAAAAATGGTTGATAAGTTTGATGTCTTCTGCAGGATGCTCTGGATCTGATAAGCGGTCACTATACTGTCAGCAGAAACATTCCTTCTCCTTTTCAACGAAATAGCTTTGAACCTTTATCTGTAAGTAACATCATATCATCCTAATATCTCCATTTTCTCCCACCTGAATCCTAAAACTTCTAATGGTTGAAAAAGAAAATGAGCGTATCTTGTCATCGTTGAGATCTAAAACTGATTGAGTTTGTAAACTTAGTTTTGTATAAAATTGAAGATGTGTTTGTTTCTACAGTATCCAAAATTGATTTTGACTGAATCCGTTTTGTAAAATTGATTTTAGCTTATGAAACCATTTTAATGTGCTATTGACATGCTTCATAGAAAAATGTAACTTTGCAGTACCTCCCCGTGGCATCAGCTTTGATAATTGGTAGTTTGACAGCAACTTCCTTCACTCTTCAGCAAGGTATTTAACTTTGTGTTTCTTCCATATGAATAAATTTTCCTTGATGCTTATTTTGCTTTTTCTTTTCATTTTATTTAAATTTGAAAATCTGTTGTTATATTATAGCGGGTCGAAACACCCAGCAGTATGTGTCTTCTGTAATCTGTGCTGGAATCACGGCTGGAATCATGGCAATTGTCAAAGCTAATGGAAGACAGTTCTGCTCAAGGCCCCGTTTGTGTGGTCTCTTGTGATACAAGTAACCATATGATTTTTTTACTACCTTTGAACAAAACTTCAAAAAGAAGAAAAAAAAACAGTGTGGTCTCATTCTAGACATTGTAAGTATGATTAAATTTGATGTTTATGTTGATAAATATTATTTTGGGATAGGTATTCATATCTATTGGTTGCACAACACTTTGTTTTTATTTTTAATAAAATATAGTCTTATTGATATTAACATTATTTCAAACTTCAATATTTTTAAATTTTTTTATGCATTAGTATTGTCGGTTATTTGAATTTGAAATTCAATCATTGGTAAGAAAAGCATATCAAATATTGATCAAATCAATCTTTTAATTTTCATTATAATTTAGAAATTTAAATATTATGACAAAAATCATCAGGAAACTTGCACCACAAGCATATCACTAGTTCCAGCATCGCTCTCCACTCTTAAAAAAGTTAACATCACGAGTGTCTGATTGTTTACTCTTAAGGATATCTCTACCTGACCGTCAAACATGAATTTTGACTATGTATTCTCTCTGAATTCGGAAAACAACTAATCTTCAACAATTAAAAGCACAATGAACCAACATTTCACACCAGAAACATCTTTGAAAAGCAGAAAATCCTTTCCATTTCTGATACCACTATGTAGTACTTTAAAATCCTACTCTTAATTTAAAGGAATAAACCATCATTTTACGTTGATACTCACACATAACATTTCAAAACTCACAAAGAAATTCAAAATAAATAACAAACTTTAATTTATCTCTTCAAATTAAAATAACATAATCTAAACATTAACTCACAATTAAAAGACCTATTTCCAGATGTTACGCAATAATACAACTAAACAACCATAAAACAATAAATAAACGAACAAAGCTCTAATGTCATCTTCCAACTCACAACGACATTTACTCCTCCTGAGTACTTGTACTACAAATACGTTTAAATATATTAACGCTGCAAAAGAATGTGAAGGTAGCATATTCATCACAATCATCAATACATAATAATCATTTACACACAACAACCAATTCACAAAGGCTTTATGTATGCAATGTGTCTCACAACTCGACTTAATGCATGTGGTAGCAATTTGGACATCAGAGGTTTGCTACTGATCTCTTCCACTCAACAATGATTCCTCATTCGAACTGGGCCCCCACTTCTATATTCTGGGTCCCCGCTTATGAACCTCAGACGATCACTGATCTCCACTTCTGAACCTGTGACTCGTCTCTTTCAACATTGACATAAATTATACATGACATACAAAATAATGCAACAACATTTATGGTTCCATTTCTAACCATAAACAAGAACACAAAAAGCTTCCGCAATATTTCTCACTCTAAACTACACTTCTCACTACAACCTCATACAATTATAACTCACAACACATAATTATACTAACAGTTCACAACTTATACACATAAAAACAATTCACAACATATAATTAAGTAAAAATATCAAATATTATTATATTCATCATAATATTTTATCTCAAACATGAAATTCAACGTCATATAATTTCTCATCAACAACCTTACATCAACATCACCATCCCTTCTCATGGAAAAATCAATCGCAACACGAAGTACACTATTGACCTTTTAGGACCCTACCATGAGCTATTACTACGCGCTAAATTTCTAATGTTTTAAACCGCGCCTCAAACGAGGCATTGAAATCAAGTTATGATGAAAACAACATTAGAAGAATTTCGCCACTAGAGTGTCTTGCTACGCGAGACCCTCTCTCACTAAGCGAGACTCTCCATCATTAAGCGATGACACACATATATGCAAACTCAGAAATACAATTTTTATCATTGTGGGACTTCCGAAGCTCCGATCTCAATTTTCTAAAAACCAGAACACACATAATTTCATCACACATAAGACATACAATATTTCCCACATCATTTGAACATATTAATCATTTATCTCATGAATTTGTTGCAAATCTAAGGATATGGTTATCAAGCTAACACTCATGAACATAAGCATAAAAAACTGAGGTTTGCACATACACATCATACTCAATCTCAGTAACATAATAGGCATGGACTTCATGTCAATTGCAACAAAACAGTTTTCACATAAACCTCAATCAAACACACAAATCTCAACAATGGAGAAAAACCTAGAAGAGGGTGAGGATCATTCTCTATCCTTTATATGTTTGACACCAACATTAAAGTGATTCTCCCCCCTTACCTTAGTTTTTCAGCAAATAATCCAAACTCTAGCAATGTCTTCTCCTTCCTTCTCTAACCATTGTTCTTGCTCTTTCTCCCAGTGCTGTCTCAATTCAGGTACTGACACAAATAAGCTCAACTAATTCCTTTTTAATAATAAACTTGATTTTTGAATTTAATAATTACACCTTGACCCCAACTCTTTTCTAATTATCATCACTTTACCATATTTCTATTAATTCCAATTTCCATCCCATCTCTCACAACTTTATTATTTTACTTAATTAAAATTATGAATTAATATCTGTTTTGGTCTTGTATTTTAACCTCGGGTTCATTTTGACCTCTTAACTTTAAAAAGGTCTATATTGGTCTTTTAACTCTTCAAAACATTTCATATTAGTTCTTTTGTCTAATAAGCGACGGAAAAATTAAAAAATCAGTTCTAAATTCGTCGCTAATTAGACAAAAATGACTAATATGAAACATTTTGAAAAGTTAAAGGACCAATATAAACCTTTTTAAAGTTGAGAGAACAAAATAAACCACGAGGTTAAGAAACAATAAAAATGTATTAAGCATTAATATCATTTAAAATTCTAATTAATTTCTATCCACCTCAAATATTCCCACAAAACTATTCAAACACACTCATAATTCATAAAAATCAATATTAACTCAAGTAAATTAAAAATAATAAGAAATCGAGTGTTACAGATATATTATCTAGATAGAAAATTTTAATTTTTTCAACAGCAGTGTGGATTGGTGATTGAATGAACTCTTGCAAATATTTGTCAAATAAATAGGAAACAGGCCTGTCCCAATGGAAAACATTGAAGAGTGCACGTAGACAAAACGAGAGTGTTTAATACTATTAATCTTGGTGTCACTCTCTCTTACTCTTACATTTAATTTCATAGTATTTGCATGCTTAAGTATTTCAATTCTAATGTAGTTTATAGTTGATTCAATTGATAGCAATTTATTACATAAGCATTAAGTTTTAATAGAATTGACGTGAGAACTCTTCACATTTAATCAAAATTGAATCAATCTACCTAATGTTTTATCGTATTCATCTTTACTGTGAAACAATCTATTATTAAAAAGATTAAAATTTTGAATAGTATAATTTTTACATTTTCGCATCAAATCTTCTGTTGACATTTATTTTTATAAATACCCTAATAATTTTCATAATTGTCTAAGTTAATCTAACTAATCTATGTATACTCTAGTACACTTAAAAACCTAACGACGAAGAATATAAGAAAAATATATTAAATTAACAACAAATAAATGTTGATGGCTATAGACTAAATTCGTGATTGATAAGGGATGAAAAACAAAAATTTATCAAACTAAGACTCAGAAGTAGATTTAATTTTAATTTCTTTTTTCTATAGAAAATTTTAACAATAGTTTGTTTAATTATATTTAAAAATTAAACCAAATTAAAAGAATTGACCTCTATTGTGCCTGTTTAATTTTAAAAAGAAAATTTTTAAAATGATATTTATAGTTTACAAATATACAAATTTTGTAAAATAATAAATTTATAAAAATAATAAATGACATAAAAAAATATTTGATAAGTTTATAATTAATATGAGCCATTTTTACTACAATAAGAACTGATGACAAAATATTAGTTGATTTTATAATTTAATATTTTTTTAGTTTTAAAGATTCTATGAAAAGTGAATTAAGGAATTGTTAGCATATTTTGAGAATTTTGAGTGGGTTAATACATATGAAAAAAAAAGTTTTTGTATAATCATGTTGAATGTTTTATTATTATTTCTGTATTTTATTTTATGTTAAATTTTTAATTAAATATAAAATGATAATATTTTCATAATTTGAATTTTTATCACTATTTAAAATATGAATTTGGATCCTCTCCTTTTTAGATATCCTGCCATCTCTCATGTTTCTAATCTAACGATTCATAATTTATGATAAATAATTAAATAAAAAAAGTCATTTAATAGGAGAGAGAAATGGAGGACAAAATTATGGATTCATTATAAATTTAATTAATACGATAAATAAATTTTTTTATTTAATTATTTATTATAAATTCTATACCGTTAGATTAGAAACATGAGAGATGATATGATATATAAAAAAGGAGAGGATCCAAATCCTTAAAATATGTAAAATATATATATATATATATATATATATATATATATATATATATATATATATATATATATATATATATATATATATATATATATATATATATATATATATATATATATATATATATATATATATATATATATATATATATATATATATATATATATATATATATATATATATATATATATATATATATATATATATATATATATATATATATATATATATATATATATATATATATATATATATATATATATATATATATATATATATATATATATATATATATATATATATATATATATATATATATATATATATATATATATATATATATATATATATATATATATATATATATATATATATATCAGAAATATTGCACTTCACAAGAAATTAAGTACCATACTGTTGGCGTTTGGAAATGTATTATACCTTATTGATAGTTTAAAAACATAAATATTGCACATCACAAAAAATTAATTACCATATTGTTGGTGTTTGGAAATGTACTCTACTTTATTGATAGTTTAACAACTTTTTTTTTTATGTAAGGTAACATTTGGTATTTAATAAGAAATTGGATGGGAAAGTTATTAGGTAGAATGTTGTGTTATATTTACAAATGCTCTAAATTGGGGTGTCTTTGTC